AAGGCCGGTCCACATAGAACTTTCGCGTTGGCTTTGGCGTTGGAGTTGGTTTGACAGAACGCACGTTAAAAGTATGCTTGCTACAATGAACGTTTGGCAGCGAATGCTTGGGCCACTAAATTAACATACTAACGAGAGATTAATTAATATTTCATATCAATAATTGCACTAAAAAAGATATTTCTTGCTCGCACTTGATTGAAAAGGAAAAATATTTCACATAATTGTATTTATTTGCAACAGCTGACGAGCAACGTACGCGAGAGTTGCCATCTTTTTGCTTTGTGTTGGCGTGAGCGTTGTCGAATTTCGGCTATGTGGACGGCTGCATTTGAATTCATGTATTCATAGTCAGCTGTTGAAGCGACGCCAACGCCAACGCAACGCCAAAGTTCTATGTGGACGGGCCTTTAGGATTAGTTAAACTCGTGTTGCGGTTTTTTGCAAATATATCGTTTGTAGTTTGGTCTGCGAGCATCGCATCCGCGTCTTTGCTACCACGACAAAATCACACATGAGCCGCTCACCGTCTGTGGCAAACGACAGCGAACATGTTGGCGCATATGTGCGCGCAGATGTTCGTCGTGTGTAGCCAGTTTTAACGGAATAAAAATAACCGATTATAATCGGCTAATCGATTAATCGTCCTAACTATTGTGAACTGTTTGTTTTGGTTGAGAGAACGTTAGTTTTGTGATTAATTGTCCGCAAATTAGCTTGAGTTATGTACGGCTTTGTGATGCATTAGCTAAAATAAAGAAAGCAATTGTTACTCGGATTTGTGGATTATAACAATTACGTCTTGCACAGTGCTCGGTAAAATAAAATTTTGCGTCTAAATTTTCACGACATACATACTTGTTAAGTGGTAAAAATGGTGTAAAAAAATTAGTAAGTGTATGCACTTGGGATTTCGTCGGACTAATTGGATTACCATAGTTGCGTTCCAGATGCTTCATGATTTGCAGGTTTTTACAGAAAGCCACAGATTTTCCTGCAAATCCTGTAAAACCTGCGAATCGTGAAGCATCTGGAATGCAACTCATATTGACAAAAGCCGATTCACTCTTTAAGGAAGGTCTAATTTTCATAATTTATGACAAAATCGGGCACGTTCTGCAATTTACTTCCGAGTAAATTTAGACCCCTGCCAATTTGAATTCAAAGCGAGCTTTATTGAAATGCACTCGGAAGTGAATGGCAGAACCTGCCTGAATAACCTATATACCTACTCCCTCCACTTGAACTAAAATATATATTGAAAAAATGTGGGTTCATTTGCACATATGTACATACTTATGCATATATTTATAGGCATACTAACACATGAGTATGCAACTATTAAAGTTGTATTTTGATAAATTTGCAAAAAAAAAGCTAGAATTTTACCTACATTATGTATGTATGTATGTATGTATTTATGTTTGCACATATACTACATACGTATGTATTGTTTTCCCCTCCATTTATGACTAATTGCTTGAGTCGAAAGTGCAATAAAAATATATTCAATAAGTTAAGATTATTCGTGCTCATTTATAGTATTGGTACTTTGGAAATACATATTATGATCTACATACTTATGTACATATGCATGTACAAATATATGTACAAATATATACACTGCCGGAACAAAGTATTGGCACAGCAAATTTTTCACAATATATGCATCAATTTTTATTCTAATATTTTTCCGCCAATTTTGTATAAAAATATGGTTCATTCAACAACAAAAAACTTAAAAATATAATTTATAAACTTTGTGCAAAACTCGCGAAAATTCACAAAATTTTCATCAAAATTTTCAACTTTTTAATCAGATATTTTAGATTTTTTTTGAGTATGCAGTTTTGCAGCCCATTAGATTCTATTAAAATAAATACAAGTTCAGAGTTAGTCAGTTGATTTTTGAGATTTTTTTCGTTGAAGGTGTTTTGCATTTTTTCCATATAAAGTGGTTTCGAAAATCATTTTTTGTATGGAAAGACTGCGTGAAAAAAATTTGCCAAAAATCAACGGTAATTCCTAGCTACTTGCACCTTGTTATAATTAAATTGATTGGGCTACAAATATGCATACTCTAAAAAAACTGATTAAAAAGTTGAAAATTTGTATGAAAATTTGCTGATTTCTCGCGAGCTTTGCACAAAGTTTAGGAATTATATTTTTATGTTTTTTGTTGAAGAATATTTTTATACGAAATTAGCGGAAAAATATTAGAACGAAAATTGTTGCATATATTGTGAAAAATTTGCTGTGCCAATACTTTGTTCCGGCAGTGTATATATATATATCGCACGTTTAATAATATAGAGATGTAACTCAAAATTTACAGTTTTGGAGATTTCATTATGCATATAATAAGCTTGATAAGTAGAATATGTTCAGTTTAAAAGATAACCATACTTCTCAAATATTCTAAGAGTTGTCTTTCCATCTGTCTATTTGTATACCAACTGCATGATTTAATTCATGATAAAAATATAGTAAGGTAGAACCGCTGAGAGTTACTTATAAAAGTCTTGACGTTTACAAACATTTTAAATTTTTAAATTTACTCACAAACTCACACACACATTTTCATTTTCATTTTCAATCTCAAGCAACAACAATTTCGAACAATTTCAATTTTTTATTTTCAATTTTATAGGATTTTAAAATGCTGTCAAACTTCAAAAAAAAAATCATGGCCGACAAAATGAGAGAACGGTTCTACCTTGCTGTGTTTTTATCATGATTTAATTATTAAAGGTTTTGTAAGTAGCTTTTTTCTAAAATTTGACACTCCCACCCACAGGGATGGTTTTTGGAAGCAGGAGAAAAAGTGGAAGAATTCAATCACACCTAAAATGGTAGCTAAATTTTTACAAACAGGTATGGAGTGCATGGTGGTATTTTAAAACAAACGCGAATTGGATTTAGTTATTTCATTTAAACCAGCATATTTACATCGAATATAACGAATACAAATTTTTATCTATATACCAAAATAGCGTAAGTCAGACGGCGCATAACTCAAGAATGGGTGACCCACTTTGAGCCATTTTTTTTTGTTGTATTTGTTTGTGGAAAAATTATGGAATTTTGAAAAAAACAACAAATAAAAACCTTTGGAGCTTAAGTTTCTTTCGCGGTTATTGCTCGATTGCTTCGAATATGGTAATTCGAATTCTTTGATATTGCACTTTTATTGTTCTGGGTAGATTATGCCGCCATCGGAACATGGCTTATACAGTCGCGATTGGCTATTCGTGCCGGGCGAACACGGGAAGAATAAAAAGATCACGCAGCTACTGAATGATTGAGACAGGGAACGTGATCTATGTCGTCAAAGGAGAAGTGCCGTAAGTGTCAAAGTCTCATTCAGAGACACCAGGATTGTGTTGTGTAGGTCAATACCTAAATACATACCTTCGTTGACAGAATCAATAGGTCTCCAGAATGTCGACAAATACAACTATTCGGCATTTAAGGGAATTTCGTCCCTTTAGCTTATGTTGTATTTCTGTAGGGCAACGATTCTCACCCATTTTGTCTTGTTGTCGAGAGCGAATGCAGAACAAACATTTCTTCAAATTTATAAAGTACAACGTTCACTACTTAAAATTTGAAAATATTCTTAAAACTTCCAAAGAAATTTTTAAAAGAAATATCACTGTTTTTATTTTTGGCAGTAGGGTGGGAGTGTCATTGATAAAATTAGAGCAAGAGAAAGTTTTTCTTACAAAACCTTTCATTATTGAATCATGTACCAACTGTATGAATTGATTAAACTTTGATTGAGTTTTCCCACACAATTTAAATTGTATTATTAAACGTGCGATATGTACATACACTGCCGGCAAAAAGTATTGGCAGAGCAAAATTTTCCCAATATGTGCAACAATTTTTTTTTCTAATATTTTTCCGCCAATTTTTTATAAAAAATGGTTAATTCTACAACAAAAAACATAAAAATATAATTCCTAAACTTTGTGCAAAACACGAAAATTCAGCAAATTTTCATGCAAATTTTCAAAATTTTAATCATATTTTTAAGAATTTTTTTGAGTATGCAGATTTGTAGCCCAATCAAGTTTATGATAATAAAGTGCAAGTTTTAAGCAGCTAGGAATTACCGTTGATTTTTGGCAATTTTTTTCACGCAGTCTTTCCATACAAAAAATTTTTTTCGAAAATACTTTATATGGAAAAAATGCAAAGCACCTTCAACAAAAAAAAAATTCTCAAAAATCAACGCGATTTTTGACTAACTCTGAACTTGCATTTATTTTACTCAAAAATAAAATGGGCTACAAAACTGCATACTAAAAAAAAAATCTAAAAAATATGTTTAAAAATTTGATGAAAATTTGCAGAATTTTTGCGAGTGACTGAATAATTTACATTATGTGTTGTTTGATATTGGAAACGCTTTGCAGCAGAAACTATTAGCCTTCATATAACACTTTATTCGAACTATTGAATTAAGGTTTTCCAACCTCATCCTATTTCGAATCTTAGCTAAACAAAAGCATTTGTGTGCGGTAAGGATAATAATATGAATGCTTCTTGCTGTTGCGGTTTTCACTCCGTAAGCATTTATCCAAAATTTTTCAGAGTCGGATGGAATGCCGTTCTGAAAAAAGTTACTCCATGGGAAAGTTAAAGACTTAAATATTCAGTTTCCGGTGCTTCTCTTTCCTTCAAAGTCAAATAGTTGATTGGTGGGTCGCTGAAACCCGCCCTCTTGTGATTCAAACACTTTTCTGGTGACAAAATCAAAGCTTTTTTAAAAGTGTTTAATTAACTAGGTAATCGTTTCAAAAGTTCTTCGATTAGCGTGATTAAAAATGTTTTACAGTTTTTGTTGTTGTTGTTGTAGCGGCTACAACAACCCCGCCCAGGACGGTTGGTATCTCAGTCGTTGTCGTCAAGTTCCACTAACGGCAGCCCTGGGAAGCGTGCATCTTCTGTTGGGTTAGTCCACAGGGACAAAGCCGTTAGGGTTGTCGGGTTTTCCGGGCATGCGAAGAGATGTTTCGAGTCATGTGGGGTCTCTCCGCATGCCGGACACTCATTTGGCACATCCTCATTCAATCTACTCAGGTAGGAGTTTAACCTGCTGCAGTAGCCAGAGCGAAGTTGGGCTATTGTCGTTCGTGTCTCCCGAGGCAGATGAAGCTCCGTTTCGTCTATGTCCGGGGGCGGTATGCCTAGAACGGCATTCACAGGTCTAGAGTCTACATAACTCGAGACTGACTCCCTGTGAATGCCGTTCAGGGCCAGTCGGTAAGCTGTCGGGTCCAGAGGTTGCTTGATGAACCTCTGGACTTCGTCCGTCAGTTCATATAGATGCCTCCTGACGTGCCTAGGCGAGGGCTCCTCTGCAAGCAGCTGTCTGTTTGGGTGGCCACTTCTGTGGCTCCCGATCACGAACTGCTTGCAGAGCATTATTATGTGCTCCTTTACGGGTAGCATTTGCGCCTCGCCGTGGAGATGATGTTCGGGCGACATCAGGACGCATCCTGTCGCTGTCCTGAGTGCGGTGTTCTGTACAGTCTGTAGCTTCGTCCACTGCGTCCTACTAGTCCCCGGCGACCACACTGGCGCTGCGTAGTTCAAAACCGGCCGGCCTATTGCCTTGTATGTTGCCAGCAACGTTTCTTTGTCTTTGCCCCAAGTACTGCCGGCTAGCGACTTGAGGACCTTGTTGCGGCTCTGTACTTTATTGACAATAGCGGTTGAGTGCGCAGAGAAGGAGAGCAGGCTGTCGAATGTTACTCCGAGTATTTTGGGGTTATTCACCGTCGGAATTGGTGTGTCATCGACGTGAATTCCCAGCGGTAGCCTGACCTCCTTCGTCCAGGTTGTGAAAAGGGTCGCAGAGGATTTCGTAGGGGAGAGGGCTA